TTTGAATTTTTACTATTAAAGTCCTTTTTTGTTGCAACTCTGCGTTTGAGTTCTGCCTCTGGGCTACCCGATCGTGACAGTAGTGTAAAATCCCACCATAACATATCACACAAATAAATCCATCCATCATTATTGTAAACATTGGGACTTGTACACTTTGCTCTACCGAGTAACAAAAAGAACCACAGCGCTGATGGTTGTATCTACTGTTTATTCCTTGGAAAAGTCACAACTCATTTTTTGTCATATATATTATAGATATGCATTGATACATTGATTGTTTGCACCATGTGGACCTGGAAAAGGTCTGTCTGCCTTGAAGAGTAAGTATTCAAGGACTTCTCCTGCGATGAAGACTTGTTTTATATCTGTGTGGAGTGGACCTAATGTCGGAGTATAACCTGAAATTAACCAATAGTGTTTTTGAAACAGTGAACCTGTATATCAAAATAATGAACTATAGTCTTAATTCTTCTAGGCCAGTGTCAAATTTCATGTTTCAGAAATTATTAATTTTAATTCTGTTTCATTCAAGGACAACAATGAACAAACTTGTGATTGCAAATGTCAAAATGATGGTTCATGTTAAAGCCTGTGATGGATGCAAATATAATTGTAGCTAATATATATGTACACAAACTTGGATGTCCTTTCACTAACTATTTAAAGAATAAATTAAGACACACATTTATTACCCCTCAGTATTTATTTTTCAACTTTCATCACAAGTTGAAAAATAGGTTGTAAGTTATTGTTAAAATGTACTAACATCAGCCATCAATCTGAAACTACTTCCTTAACAGATATTTACTCAAGGCCCTCTGTATTGAAACATACCACTTAAAAGAACATGTTCTTAAAGTGTAAACAATGCACATGTGTTAATTATTGGTGAATATAACAGAAAGAGTGTGCACTAGAATAAAATTGAAACTAAATTCTACTTTTAAAGGAACATTACCAGTAAATCTGCTGAAAAAAAGACAGGCTTAGCGTTTGAATTAGAATAAATAGTTTTCTCACAAGTTACCAATGCTTGAGAAAGTAAACTAATATAACATGTGGGTTTAAGGCCACAGTGCCATGTTTCTGTCGAATAGCCGCCGCGTGGCCTGTGTCTGCCCCGTGGGTTTCTTCAGTGTGTTGAAAAACACTCCTTTCAATGTATTAAAGATTTTTATTTTGCTGTTGAAAATCCTCACAGTACCGGGAGAAGCAGTGCAAAAGGAATGTTCCTGGAGTCTCTTCTGCAGACAGCCACACCAATGTTTGTGTCCTCCAAAAAAAAGGCTCCGTTGTCTATTGCTTCCTTCTCCTTTGCCATGATGGAGCGACTTGCCCCTGTGGTGGAACTTGGGTTTTGAGTCAGGAGGTGAGCACTCGGGGCCTGAGCAGTTGGCTTTGGTGAGAAGAGATTGTCACAAATCTTGTTACATTCAGCTGTGGTTTTCAAGATGGTCAACCTTGTTCATTAAGCACCTGCTGTCCTTGCAAAGTTTATTCACATCAGAGTAGATTCATTCTAGTTTGTCTTCATGGTAGTGATAGAGGTTTTCAGGTCGCTGTTGGAGTGGTTAAATTTGGATTTCAGCTGTGCAATGAAGTACTCTGTGCCCTCCCTAATCCTGTCAGGACGGAGTCCTGTACTACGGGTTGCTTTCCATCGTCAAATTGTGTTGTTTTCAAATTACTTTTTTGTTAAATTGTCTTGTTTGCATGTTGCATGTTTGCATGTTTCAATTTAGGATGAAAATGTAGCTGTTTTTGATCGAAATGGTACAGAAAATAGTTTATTTTGATAAGTAGTTGCTTGAGCTGTCTGCAGTCTAGCTAAATTCTTACTGTTTAGAACATAATAACAATAATAATAATAATAATAATATCAGAAGGTGAAAGGCAAACAGACTAACAAGAACTGAGTGTGCTGTCTTGACTCTTGTGTACGGACAGATCTGTCGAGGCCGATGTTCCCAGTCCTCCTCTTGGGTATCCTTTGGCATACTGCTAGTTTGGCATGCAGGGGAGGAGTCTGTGCGGCAGCTAGTATCAGCAAGAGTGCCGTTGACTCAGCTTGAGATGAGTAAACAGGTTATTGAGTACTGTACTATGGGTTAGTAGTCTTAACAGTTATGTTAAGCCTCAAGAGAAAACATGATTCATTCAGTCACTGCATATAACTAGACTGGGTTTGTAACTTTAGACACCATTCAATATGCTTCAATTTATGTCTGGCACTTACAGATTGATAACATACAAGAGTCAAGTAGAATCCAAGCATATGACTATTTCCATGAGGTTACCAATGCAGACCCTGCAAGCAAGATAAGTCCAAATAAATTGTTCATTTTCAGCCAGCAATACATCTGAGCTTAAAGTGAATCTTCCAACTCCCTTATGCAAAGACACACACACACACACTCGTCTCCTTAGGTAACTGTATCGTGGAAAGTGATTTCCTACTTTAGACATGCCTTACATGGAGCTTAGGTTGGATGTGGCA